AGGTTGGGCTTCAGCCTCGACCTTGGGCACTGATGGTCCTTGGAGTACACGTGTCTTTATTCTCCCGAGCCACGTGTCTCCTAATAAATGTATATTTTTTCCCTTATCAGCTATCATTCCTTTCTTTTTTTTTTTAGCTCAAATTCCGCTCGACTCGTTTTAAATAACCTATAATCTTAGATAAGTTGGTTGATCGTCAAGTATTCATTTGCGAATAAATTCTGCTCTCGACTGTTTGTTTTAAATCCTATAAACAAAATTAAAAGAAATACAATACGGTTCAGCTCGTTTATTAAACAAGTACGATTAACTGGTTCGATCTCGACTTATTTAAAAAAAACAACAAACTGAACTCGAGCTTTCGCAAACTAAATAAAAAGTTATGTTCGAGAACAGTTCGGCTGGTCGAAATTAACATAATTGTTTTTCACAAATCTAAAAAGAATAAGTGCCACTCATACAAGAAAAAACAAGACAAGTAAATTAGTATTATAGTGAGGTACACAACAGCATGCATTGTCTAGTTGAGTGGGCATAGCATTATTATAGCTTTTTCCAAGTCGGACTTCACAACATAAATTAAATCAATTAAATAAATGAGTAAATCTATTAATAACTGTGGGTATGCCTATTGTATTAATGCAAAGTAGTCCATTTTTGGTGGGTGCTTATAATAATCACTTCACAAATTAAGTATCTTGCTTTGTGTCATAATTTTCAATTTTAATTATTTTCGACTTGCGGTTTTGTTATGAAGCCAACAATTGGCTCCATACTTTTTATATATAAAGTAAATTTACCATGTTCTCGGATTACTTAAATAACAATAATATAATTTTATTAATATGGTAAGTTTATATGTTGTATATAAAAAGTTGGTTCCACTACGAAGTCAACTGTTGGCTTCATAGCAAAATCGTCCCTCCCAACTCGATGTACTCTAACTTTATGTTTTGTTAATTGAGTTTTTCAATCAACATATGATAATGTTCCACTCAAATTTGATAATTATGAAGTGGTTAATCAATTATTGCAAGAGAATTATTATATAATGTATAAAAAAAATCACTTAATTTTTCTGTACTATAATTCATGTTTTAATTTTTCATAAACACTTTACATATAATCGAAACTAAAATGACTCATTGAAATTAATCTTTCTATTGGAAATTCTGTTGGATTTTAGCAAGATTCGTTGTCGTGAAATTTTCGTTGTACTATGCAAATATTCATTACTGTTGCAATCATTTTTTCGACTGATAATTTCAAACCTTAGAAAAAAAAAAATATATCAATAGATTGTTAAAGATCAAACGGAAATTTTAGTTTTAATCTGTGTTAAAATTCCATAGGATTTTTTCAACAAAATTTATAATAATAGAAAAGCATGGGGCATTATTATTATTATTATTATTATTATTATTATTATTATTATTATTATTATTATTATTATTATTATTATTATTATTATTATTATTAGTAGTAGTAGTAGTAGCAGCAGCACTTGAGTCCAGTCAAGTCCACATTTGAATTTAGAAGAAATCTATGGATCCTTTGAGTCTTGATTTTCCAATTAATTCTTCTTGATTTCTTTTGGCCATTATTGGATTGACCAAAGTCCTCCAATTAAAGAAGATATTTAGTGATAAACCTATGTTTCAAAACAATTAATTAATTGTAAATCCACTTTTGATTACTTTTAATTAGCACTAAGAATAATAATATTCAAGTTGGGCTTAGATAATGGACTAGATTATCCAAAACTTAAGTTTTTTTTTTTTT